GAGGCCGTGTTATACATTTAAAATAATACAAAGGTCTCATTTTTTAAATTTCATAAAATAATTTTTTCGAGGTAAAAACATTAAAAATATACTTGGCGGTCTTTTTTTTACATTTTTAATGTCTTTTTTCCACGAATTTTATTAAATTATTTTTCATCTACGTTTAGATCAGATGAAAAGGACGATAGACTATTTACAACGGTTGTATTGTACATACATCGACTACTAGTTATTTTTTATGTCCGTATTAGTAGCAATTTTCTTATGTTATTCTCTGTTCTTTATAAATTCAAATGTGCTATCATTCTTATTGATAGAGCGAAAGAAGTTCTCACCTAATTGAGGTGCATTCTATGTTGGCCAAATCGGAAGACAACTGAAAACAATAATTAATATGAACATCGAAACCACATAAAAAGGAATACGACTAGTTAATCGATTCATCGATCAAAGAATTACAACTATGAATTTTATTGGGAGAATGTTAAGGTTCTGGATATGAAAAGAATCATAAATAAAAGATTATAATTTCAGAAATGCTACATATAAAACAACAAAGAAACGATTTATATTTGCAAACAGACACTGAAGGTTTAAATACTTTAAATCATGCCTATATCTCACTTATCAATAAAATATGAACTACTTGTGCCTCTTTGTAATGTTTGTTTTTTGAGTTTGTATCCAAGGTTGTAATGTCATGAAATTGTTAACTAGGAGTTTCTCCAATTAATTATCCAGATGGAAAGGCTGTGTTTTATAAAAGCATAATGTTAGTTTTATAGGAATTAAGATTATTGAAGAACCGACATTAAAGAACTTACCAGTTCTAACAAACGAGTCACAATGTGAAGTCATAGTCATTAAAGCGATCCAAATTTAAAAATAAATAATAAATTAATCAATATATATTGATTCTCATTTTAATTTGTGACTTTATCTGTGTGTAATAGACGTGCTTTATTCAGTTTTTTTAATTTTATTTTTCTTATACATTAAGTTTTAATATTCCTGATTAATTTATTATATGTTTTTAAGTTTATTTTAATTTATTTATTTATACATTTAATTTTAATACGCTTGACTTTTAACTTTGGATTAATTTATTATTTATTTTTAAATTTGGATCGCTTTAATGACTATGACTTCACATTGTGACTCGTTTGTTAGAACTGGTAAGTCCTTTAATGTCGGTTCTTCAATAATCTTAATTCCTATAAAACTAACATTATGCTTTTATAAAACACAGCCTTTCCATCTGGATAATTAATTGGAGAAACTCCTAGTTAACAATTTCATGACATTTTAAGATTTCGGATCGACAAATGACAAACTGAGCCTCATCGACATTGCATTTGTATGCTGAATTTGATAATTTGCAACACTGAAGATAACTCGAATGGAGCCGGAATGTCTGTAATTTTATTATGTATTGAGTTTTCATAATTACATTATTGGTTTGAAACCTTTTAAAATTTGTTGGAATTTTGTAATATATAAATTATCTCATTTATCGTATGTAATTTGACTAATTTACGCACCTCTTACCACGCCTAACTCCCATAGCCTTTGTGATTATAAAATTTGCACACTGTTTACCGCGTTGAGTTCTTATAGTCTTCTTTTTTATAAATTTGTTTTAAAATTCAGAAATCTATTAATTATTTATTGAAATTAATTGTTTATTAATCTTTAAACACGTACGTGTATTTATATCAGAGAAGATATGCCAAGAAAAAAATCTGCTGGGTGGCCGTCAATGTGTATATGTTTTAAATATATGTCATATTCTTTATTTAAGTTTGTAAATTGTGGATATTTTGAATAATCAAAATGTCAGTGATTCTATGATATAAGCACATTGAACAGTTTATAAAAAACTGGATATTTTAAACTAATAATAGTTTAAAAAACAATTAATTTATTGGTCTATATTTATTAAGATTTTTCTTATATATTTTTATGAATTTTATATTAATCAGTTATATTTTGAGTTAATATAGTTTTGAAATTTTCTGTATAATACATCAAAATAAATTAGGAAAACATGTAAAAGTAAATTTTAAACCTATTAAAAAATTATGTATACGGAATTAATAATAATAATATTAAATTAATAAAGTTAATCTTGTTAAGAAGTAGTTTCTAAATTTCGATTTTTATTTTGTCTTAATCGGTAGTCGAATAAGTAAGACACTCGTCCGGAGAGTAGCTAGGGATCGAAGTCCAGGATTTGAATCTCGGCTGAGATAATATTTTTCGCAATAATTGTTATTTCACAAAATTTAAATAGATGCTATACGAGCATCGATTTATTAGATTGCCTTTGGCAATTTAATTGTGATATTACGGTACTTATACTTGGTTTTGAAAGTGCAACGATTTGCGACGCGCGGATTATTTAAACCGAAAAATAATAAGATTCACATTTGATAATATTATGGAGCACCAAGATCCGCTCTGACCGTTGGCGCTTTTCGATCTTCATTGTTTGTAACATTCCACAGTCTATCCTGATACCTTAATTATTTTGTCTTAATGATCATCGAATTTGATTCAAATTCAATGTTTGTATTTATTACATCATTCTATTATTATTATAAATAATTCAAAAACGCAGCAAAATTTGTAGGTTTTTACTATCATTTTTTAGCATCTACATACATTTAAAATGATTTTCGAAAACCATTTTAAATGTATATGTCTGTGTTAAAAAATGATAGTAAAAATCAACTATTACGGCGTTCTCGAATTATTAACAAAAATAAAATATATATATGAAAAATAGAATATATACATATATGTATATACCTCCGTCTCTCTTGTCAAAGAATCTTAGAGAGTATAATATATAAAACAAATGTACAAAATTAAGGGTTATCCAGATTTTTGCTTAGCATATCTTCTCTTATATGAATACATCACGTATGCGTTAATAGGATCTTTCTCTATGTTATTAATTTTCCAATTTTAAAAGTCATTTTCTTGGGAATAACAAATTCTAATAAAAAGTTTTATTAATTTTTTATTTTTATTTTTTAAAAAATTATCTTCTTCCTCTTTATAATTATATACTGTCTGCAGTTCGAAAATGCTCGATAATTCGTATGATTAATATGGCTTTTGGAGCGAGATGAATAATACAAGATATCGCTCGTATATTTTATGAAACGTGTCGCTGTTGAGAGATACGTTATTGCCGCTTACGCATCTTGATTCTATTTTCCAGCCTGGAAAATACACTCGAGTAGCTGCAGAGTCTTGTGATATTTAGCGCAGCTGGCGCAACGATCGTGCCGCGCCATAGCGGACAGCATTCAACAGGCTGATATTTATAGACGGAGGATTATTGGCGGAGTTTCTTACGAATCTGCAAAAGCTTTCGGCGTCAATAACCAGTTTCTACGTTCATTTCGGGATCTGTTCGATGATCGAATTCGATTTGACGAATATAATGGCGTGATGATGCGATATCGCGAAGACAAAGACGACGACGACGACGACGACGACGAGGATAACGGTATTCTCGAGTACAGTATACGGCGAGCATTGCGTCGGCTGGTTCCATCGGGAAAATCACGGGAATTCTAATGTAAGACGCGAGACCAGCTGTGCCGCTCGCCCGAGTCTCGCCCGAGTCTCGTTCGAGTCATCGTTGTCAGTTCCGTTGTGGTAACGTGTTCTTCTCCGCTTGGTGTCGTGTCGTGTCTTTGGTATCATTGCCGTCTGTCGTCGCGGCGAGCCGAATCGAGAATGCCAACTGCAACAACGCCTGCAAACGCAACGACGTGATCCATTATCCTCTGTTTGCTCGGAGCCACGGAAAGAGAGAAAAAGAAAGAAGAAAAGAGAAAGGGAATAATAATTTCGTTGCATTTTTTTTGCGAGTGGCAAGTGGTGATAATATCTTGAAATCGGAGACACACCATTTGATCTATAGATAGTTACATGCTCGAGGAATTTGTGGTGTAGAATGTTTTCTTGCCGGTAAATGTGATTCCCGTTGGCAGTCGAGGTAATGTAAAAGAAGATTCGCTTCGGAGAACGATCGCTCTGTGAATCATCTCGACAACGCGCACCTTTTTATGTGCATTCATCGAATTTCATGCATCGGGATATCATTTTGCGATTATTTTCTGTATT